CTATAGCCGGAATCAACACCAGCTTTTAGTAATCAACGAACCCTTGTCGATTTTCGCAATGGAAAACAACCGTTCACCATACACGAAAACCGACCCTCTTGCCATTTTCGACAAGATCGCTGACCCACTTTGGTGTGGCAGTTATTAGCCACAAGTGTTCAATAATTTCGTGATATCTAGTTCTTCTTTAATCTTCTGTCATCTGTTAATGAAGTTGATAGTGAAATGAAGACATGACACCATGTTTCGGAAGAAGCCAAAAGGGAAGCATCAAAATGTTCATTCAGGTGCAAGCCAATGACATGTATATATCTTTCTATGTTCGCCACTCCATTGGTTCCCATTTTTATCACCACATTGATAACATCATAAAAACTACAATAGGCAACTATGTCTGGACCAATCTGAATTGTTGTTTTCAAACCTATGAACTGAACTCAAATTAGTTATATTACGGAGTCGACTCCGTGCCTGCGTCGTTTAGGGCTATAAACGAATCGAACCTAGTCGGCTCAAGTCATTTTTTTTTCTTCTCTATATAAAAAATCTATTAAAACATTATGAGCCCATCAATTTGTGGGGGGGATCTATCTAAAATACGCACCTCAGATTTTTGCGCAGCACAATGACAAAAACAGAGATATTGAGACCCATGCTCACACTTATTGATTATTATTAATTGAACCATTATATGGAATGGTGCACAGCACAGCACAGCACAACTATTGGACCCCTTTGTCTTTTCCTAATTCCTATAATATCATACTTAATAATAATAATAATAATAATGATCATAATTTGGGTTATCTTGTCTCCCAATTTCAATGGCTTCGAAAGTTGATAGAGATGTAATGTAACTTTCTTTTCAGCCATTTGTTGAACTCTACCTGTTGACTTAATTTTTAGCCGTTCAAATTTTAGCATATCTTTTCAACATATATGCATTATTTCTTTGGGAGATTCTACGGTCCCGTTAAGAACCATTCCGTCGGGGTTTGTAACTGTTAGATCAACTATCCACGACGATTACATGATGATCTAACGGTTATAAATCCTGACGGAATGGCTCCGTAACGGGACTGTAGTGATTATCAAGTAGTTAAAGCACGAATACACAATGAATAATTCACCAGAGAAGTGTAATGATACGGGCTGGAAATTGTATTATTCTTTCTTTGATTAAGGTTGTGATCAGACTGTAAATTCTTCTATGTGATGTTTGATTTGTGAAATTGTGTGCTTACGGATTGAATTAACGTTGATGTTTGATGCATTTTGGAAAGATTATGAGGATGGAACAGTATGGAGAGGAGTACAGAATGAGAGAGAATGGGGCAAGAAGATAATGGAGAGAAAAAAAAAATATATGCAGAACAAATTCTGACATAGGGCAAGAAGATAATGGAGAGAAAAGATTTATGGATAACAAATTCTGACATTCT